ACCAGTATCTAACTGAAAGACAGGAAATAATGTGACACAGAGAAGACTGAAATATTCAATGCTCTTTTTTGCCTAACATAGCTACAAAATATCTTAGCGTCTGACATGCAAAGCAATTTACTAAAGTCCAAGACGCACAGACCAGAAAAGGGAAGGAATGGGTTAAGCAATATTAAGAAATGCCAGTTTCCAATCCTGCTGACTTAAACACGTAGTTCAGAAAGCAGTGGATAAAGCTTGTCTCCCTGTAGCCTTATGTCTCCTGTTTGCATTAGCCCAGAGCAAAAAGTCTGACTGAAATTTATGGCTGGAATATTCATAACATTCTTCTGTGAGTTTTCCAATGCCTGATATCGGGGTTTCATTTACACTGAGTTCCTTGTTGCCATGGAATACTCTCTATTTACCTGCTCATTTTCACAAGATCTATAGAAATGTAGTACCTTTGAGACCACCCCTACCCAGTCCAGTTCAGTTGCAGAGTGAACAGCAAGTTCAAAAGGCATAGTGTGGTCTGGCTGGTCATACATGTGATCATATAAACTGTGTTCCCATACGAAAATCTGCTAAAAATTACCCCAGAGCACTTAAAAGATAAAATAATCTCTGCATGACGATGCAGGGGGAAGGGAGGTTGTGGTGCGGTTTTTTGTTTTGGTTTTGGGGTTTTGAGAATTCATTAAGTGCAAGGGAGGTCCTAGAAGACTAGAAAGGATGAAAATGCTGCCTGTCTTAGGAAATAAAGTTCAATTGACCTAACTTTCATAAATAACTTCATCCATCTCTGAGGGATACTATCCTAGGTTATTAGGCAGTTAGTGTATAGGCACGAAGATAACAGTATGACAGAAAACAGTTAAGTAGTAAGATTTTAAAATGTAATCTTAGAATCACTATTGTGTCAAACCTCTCCAATTTCCTTCCTAGAAAGGGCACCAGGCCTATTGAATAAGAAGGAAGCAGTAAATGTGATATCTGTACTTTAACAAAGCTTTTAGTTGGGTCCTCATTAATTTTACCTGCAACAAAAAAATGGTGTAGACACACAAGTCGTTAAGTATTTCTCTCAAAAAGTATTTATCAACATTTCCTGACAGAGTAGGATGGCACTGCAGTAACATCCTTCAGGGATTTCTCATCCATCCTATTCTATTCAATTTTTCATTGAACAGCTTGGATAATAAAACAGGGACTAAACTTGTAAAATTTGCAAAAAAATCTCGAAGAGGGTTGCAAATACATAAGAAAGCAGATCAGAAACCAAAATATTTAGCTAATGTGAGAAACAGTATAACCGCAACAAGCTCATACTAGACAGAGAGAAATTAGGTACTACCCATGACAAAATTAAAACAGAGTATATTAATATAACCTGATGATGATAGAAGGATAGGAAGGTTCAAGTGGATTTCAAACTAAATATTAGGCAACAACATGATGATGTTGCAGAAAGGCATTTTGCATTCCAGGATGTACTAGGAGTGTGCAGTATGTGAGATGCAGGACCTAATTATTTTGCAGTCTTCAGTGCTGCTGAGGCCTCAGCTGGAGCATTCTGTGCAATTTTGGGCAATGCACTCTAAGAACAATTTCAGCAATTTGGATGGAGTTGAAATGAAACCAACAAGAATGGTAAATTATTTTGAAAATATGACTTACAAAGAAAGATTGAAGGAATGGGGCTTGGCTTCCTCAGAAAAAGAAGACCGGAAGGAAAATGTGTATTTTAAAAGGTAGCATACAGAAAGTCATGGACAACAGATCTTTGTACCCACCTGAATTATAACAATTATGCAGCAGAGTACATATAAAAAATGAAACAACAACAAAAAAATCCTTTCAACTTAAAGTCTAGATTAGATGGAATAGGTTTAAGAGGTTGTGGAATCCCCTTCATTTGTGGTTTTTAACAGCAGCCTATACAAACATCTGTCAGGGATGACCTAGTTACCCATTTCCTGCCACAGTAGGGATGGACTGGACCTCCTTTTTTTTTTTTTTCCCTATAATGATTTCAGTACTGGAGAACCTGTTTTATTTAACTTGGTTGCTATAGATTAGGCAGTACAACTGTTGTGGTGAACCAAGGCCTTAGTAAAATAAAACAAACCTCCACATACAATAAAAAATAACTATGAAAATGAAAAAAATAAACTAACTTTAGCAATTTTTAAACATAAATGTGTCAAAAATATTCTTTATTTATTACTTTATTTCTTAAAATACAGTTCTATTGTCCAAAACATACATTTTACAACCATTAAGAAGTCAAATTGGGATTTTGAATTCTTTTAAAATAATGAGGTTAGTGAAAGGTATTTTGATGTTCATTCTTCATTTTAATCTGGCTTTATTAAAGAGAAGAAATATCAATGATTTTCACCAAGAAAGAGAAGTGATACATGAAATACAGAAAAACAACTCACCGAAAAACTGTGAATGAAGCTCTGTCAGCACCTCAGGGATATGATGGTATCATAAATGTAAACTGCACAAGAGCTTTTCTCCTGTACTTAAGATGCTGTCATCAGAAACCTGTGTTTATCCAGGGCAGCCTTAGGTATCACTGTTACCAGTACTTAGATAATATCAAGCTGTGCACATGCACAGAAGCACGAAGTGTCAAGCTATAGTTACAGTTGATCTGGTGACACTTCCATTCTGAGAGCTAATGCAATCCCTTTTAAAGAAACCAAAATGTCATTTATGATGAAGTCTTTATGACTGTTAAACTTTTAGATGATTTCTAAGAGTTATTTTTAAAAAATACATATTTCTTTCTTCATCACTACCAAGAAGGCCTCTTCCAATTTTAAAAAATTGGAAAAAATTCAGTTCCAGAATAATATTTTGAAGTATTTCTTTAAGATTACTTTCCTAGAACTCTAAAATGGCTGTTTTCAGTCCAAGCTTGCAGTTTACAAAACATACACAGCATAAGAGGGTTTCCATGTGTTCTAACCCACCAATCAAGAAAAGAATCCAACTCCTACTACTGGTTACTGGCCATCAGTGGGATGAAAGGAAACAAGTTGGTGGAAATCTGGTTCAAAATATGGGATGTGTGGCCAAAGGCCACAGCATGTTCTATATTACCAAGATCCCCACCAAACTTTACAAAATAGTGTGAATTATTAGAACTACACTAAATTATAATTTATCCAAGATCAACGTAATTCTTGTGTTTGGCTCTCCCATTTCTGTAGACAGGCGTGTTTAATTCTGTGTGTGTTTCCCAGGTGTAAAGGACTCAAGAAGAAATTCACTGAAGTAGCAAGACAAGAAAGCAAAATACCATTGCTTCAATTGGTGTATGACATGCATAAGGCAACTGAGGGGATTAGCTTTAATTTCCAGTCCTAACCAACAACTGCATGCTGGATTTTTACAATGCAAAAATGTGAGTGGGAGGATATTGCAGGAACACTGACACATACCAATGACTTTTTCATTTTCTGGATTGGATTTTTGATTGTCCTGCATGCCAAAATGTAGGGTTTTCTTCCCCTTCCCAACCTTGTTTAGAGCACAAAGAAGAGATATGAACTAGATAATGTAGGAATTAGCATAACTGTTTGGGAAACACTGAGAAGAAAGTACAATAGTTTTGCCTGTAAAACTAAGTTCTTATGCATGCAAAAACCCAGATGTACACAACCAGCTGTGGAGTTTCTACCTACAAAGTGAAAGCCTGTGCCTATAAATATATGCTTTTGTGGCTGCAATGTATGTAGAATTGCTTCTTTTTAAACCAGCTCAAATTGAAATTGAATTTTAGGCCTTCCCATTTTTCTACCCTCTGGTATAATACTGCATATAGAATGAATGGCATCATAAGGGAATTTGTTTGTACCTCATCTCTTTTTTTTCCACCAAATTGTATTCCCAGACTGTTCCCAGCAGCTGTTCATCTAATTCCTCAGCAAGAACCATATTCGACAAGATTATACTGCTTTCATTAGTCCCATTTGGAGAAGCAGAGGAAGACTAGAAAAGTAGGAGAGCTAAGAATGCAGTAAGTGAGCATATAGGAAAACACAAAATTCCCAGAGTCCTGCAACTCAGTTAAGCCTTAGTTATAGGCAAAACACCACAAACTGCCCTTTGATGTGTTAATTGAAATTTAGCTTTCCACACGGTACTATTTTCTTCTCAACATAAGGGACACTAGCTGCTCTCAAGAAAGAAAAAAATTAAATGCCTGTCATATAGCTTTTCCTTCCTTACTTCAAGAACAAAGGGTTAAAACAGGCATTGAAAAAGCATCCAGAAGATTAGATAAACAAATAAAAATGCTTATGTGTGTATATGTGTGCATGATGATAAAACAATTCCTATACATCTATCCTTCTCCCCTTGCTGCAACACAGACAAAAGACAGTGTCAGGCATGTTAGGCCTCCTCCCTTTCTCTTCTGCTACAGCTTTCAGTAGGCACAATGCTTATTAGTACCACAACAAGCAGAGATTTTGTAGTTCAAATGAATCACATCTTCTGGGCTATAATCGATGGCTAAATCAAAGAAAAAGAAAAGGTCATAAGTTAAGGACTCAAACTGCAAACCAACCCAGAAAGGAACAGCAGATGTTAAACATGCCACAATATGTAGAGATGACATTGACTTTTACCTGCATCTAATCAAAGAAGCTCAAAGACCAAACTAGACACAGTCATCTCTTGCTTGTAATTTGCTCTATGGCAGTCCTGCAGTGTTTCACACAAGTATTAACAATCACAAAAAATACAGATGGAAAAGAATTCTGCATGTCCTTCAGGTAATGTAGGAATTTGCATTTTGTATTTTTCTCTTTTTGGTTCAGTATCAGGCACTAGAGATTTTTAGTGGTGGATCTGCAGCCCAGTAGCTCTCAATATGCTGGAATATTCTTCATTATGGTCTGACAGTGTTAGCTTTGCTGATTTTTCTAGAAGGCAGAAAAGGGTTTTTCGCTGCACCTCATTAGGCTTCTAATTCTCCAATAAATAGTAAGAGGGTTGGATTCATCATTCTTGTCAATTTTAGTAGGAAGCAGTTTCTCTCCACTAATAATAAATATTTATATTCGCAGAGTTGTTTTCTCTGTTATGTTACATCTTGACCCATAGCTGTTCTTTTCAGAAACAATCCATACCTGTTACATATTTGTAAAAGTCAGTATCAGTATGCAGATAGTGTAGGATATTTTGAGGATGTCCTGTTGCTGTCTGCATAGATGTGCAATTTATGTCCTCCATTATGACCTTATTTTGAGATATCTTATATTTCCCATCTATATTATATTTCAATCCCCCCTTTTTAGATTGCCTCCTATTTGTTGGCCCTATGCTGGTCATGAAGTGTCTCTAACTGAATGCCTTCAGTCTGCTCTGGCAGATGTATGCCAGGATGAATCTAGTGTCATAGTTCATATATTAGAGGAAAAAAATCAAAACTGCATCCTCTGCAGCATTGATTAAGGGACAGCTTGAATCCCTAAGGCATTTCAAGGCATCCTGCTAAAGATATTCCCTGTCAAAATAGGAAAATTTAATCTATTGCACATAGTATAAAAAGCCAAGTACTGGAAATATTCAGCACATAGCCTGAAACACACTAACATGAAATGAGGCAATGAAGTGGTCTCGCTGTGCCAAGCTGAATATCTCAGGATGTTGACATCTAACACCACAATGCAGAACTTTGCCAAGTCTTGAGTACTATCAGATTGTAAGAGGACTTTGTCACCGCACCCTACTATTCTATTTCCTTCTGATTTGATATACATAATTTTTTTTCACTTTATTTTTGGAAAGTATTCAATGAAACCCTTTTCTTCCCTTCTCAAGTTCTCTCTACCGTGTACTACCAAGTAGGAAACTTCAAGAGTTTTCCTATTTGCAATCAAGAAATTTCAAGTTTCTCAGGGAGCATCACTGCAAAAAAATTCCAGGGCCATCTTTAGTATCTTTAGTCTTGTTTTGCCTTTTATAGTGACAGAAAAATTCCCTAACACAGACAACAGCCACTGCTGAGCTTAAAGCTACAAGGCACCACTTGATCTGAGAGTCAGCTGATTTTAAGTGTGCAATCAAATACAGGCAGGGAAAAACTGACTGGTCTCAGAGCTTCCTTAATTTGGAAGAGGATATTACACAGTGCGCTGAAGCACCCATTATGGCTCTATTCCTGCATATATCTATAAGCTCAGCAGAAGGTGATCTCCATTGCTCTGGCAGGAGGCACCCAGACACTATTCGGAGAAAGAACAAGTGCTTCCATGTCATTAATTGAGCTGAGAGAAGCAATCAGAAGTACAAAGTGGAGATCTCAATTCTTAGGGAGAGGCTGAATTAAATTTCCGAATACTCTAATAAGTATCTGGGGAGCTGCAGGAAACTATTATGCAATATAATTTTATCTACAGGATTCATTCTCATGCAAACACATCAAAGAGTTATTTTCTTAGCTGACATCAAAACAGCCCTATCAAAAAGAGTATGTTAGCTCTGCCTGAAATATATGAAGGAACAGTCTTCAATCCATGACTTGTAGGCAATGTACTGGCCAAAGACCCTCTGCAATGTTGCTGATAGCCAAGCACACTATCTAATACCCACTGAGCAGTGGGTCAGTGAAGACTGGGATCCCAATCAAGAGTCATTTTCCTTCTTTCATGATGTACACAGTACGTCCCAGAAATGTGTGCATGAGAATGTCTGCTTTACGAAAGGCAAGACCTGATGATAGGAAGCTAATACAGAACTAGATAGAACCATAAAAAGAGAGCTGAAAAATTAAACAGTGCCTTGGAGGGCTTCAAAACTTAGTTAGTTATAAATGGTGTGCTTTATTAATAAAAATCTAAGAAGCTTTACCACATCTGACATTCTTTAAAGAGTTTAAAAAAAAAATACTAACTACAGTTCCATAAAGAACTCAAACTCATCTTGAGTCTACTTCATTCAGATTTGAAGAAAATAATCTTATACAAACTCAAAAAGCTGATGACTAACATTAATACACTGATCATCAGGATGCTCACAGCAGCTATTATTGGCTATGGATGTAATTCAGTGTCATCCTCTTCCCTTCCTATTGCATTGATGGTGTGCTGGCAGAAGCTGTATTTTATACTTTAGCTTTCCTAGAAAAGCACAACTGCACCTTAGGAGTAAAACTGTGATCATCCTGAAGTCGGTAGCAAAGCTCTTATTAGAATCATAGACCTTTTTAAGATCATCAATTCCAACTATTAACCTAGCATTACAAATAGGGCTAGAATTTCACAGCAGGAGTTATTGTATGGAGAGATATCCTAATCTTTTATTTCTTATCTTTCTCTCTAGGGAAAACTTATTTTCACTTTTGCAAAATCTTATATAAAACTCAATACCAACACATAAAAAAGGATGTCTATCAGACTTGACCACTAAAAGACAATGCACCTCACCTTCTGCCTTCCAAAGATGCATTCACCATTCACATTCAGCTGTCATAGAAACAACAGTGAAAGCAATGCCTGTCTCAGATGAGAGAGGTTCAAGGATCCTAGGGAAGCAAAGAGAACATAGTATGCTATCAGATTACTTGTAATTCATGTACTTAATAAAGCTCACAGACCTCAGGAACAGCCAAAATATTTGTTTCATTGCCAACAAAACTTAAACCATTAATATCAGTCATAAGACTCCTACAGATACTTTATCCACAATTTGCATTTTTTTCCACAGAAAGTCCTACCCAATTTTCCTATCAGACAATTCCATTTCACGTAGTAAGGGTTAGTGCCTAATAACACACAGGGCTCTTTTAGCTGCTTGCATGCTAACAACCAGTATAATTGTGCCTAGCTTTTTATTTTAAATGGAGACTACCTGCTTCTCATAATAATGGTCCTTCGTTAGAGGACCTATTCCATCATGACTTATATGATACCTATGCAAGTTCCCAATGGGAGTTGTACTTTGAATAATAAATGTAACTTCTTTGTTCCATACAGATTTTGTGCCAGTTCTATCTCCTTTTCACTTATTCTAGTCACTATTTTGATCTTCTTTTTGATGATAGTACCACAGTACACTCATAAATTCATATGCCAAGTTATTAAAAATTAAAAAAAAAAAATCCAAAGAAGTTGTGAAATACCCTGTCAAACTTGTTCCAAATTAAGTTTTTAGAACCTCAAGGGTAAAGGATAATTCATGGTCAACTGCACATACTCATTTATTTACACTATATAGAGAGACAAGCAGAACAGCAGCGAGATATTTCTGCACATTAGTTTATTTTTTCCATTCTATTTTTTTATGTATTTCTATTTTGTTTCCTGACCACGCTTCAGGCATGCATAAAGCCTGCCTAAAGAACAATTATTGTCTCTGCAGTTCTACAATTCTGTCTATGTGGAGCTGGGAAGGAGCAAGTCAACTTGCTTTGTTTTGGAATTTTTATTTTGTTTTACACACACATGCACACAAACATGGGTACTTACGTTCCTTATCTGTAGTTTCTGAGACAGAGCTGAACTGTTTCCAAAGAAAATTCTGTTCTCACATGGTCAAGCTTTGCTATTACTGTGGAAAGATCCATTGTTCTAGATAACCTGTGTTTCATTTCTGAACTTTAGTAGATCCCTTAAATACTCCAAATCTCACTCTTGGAGTGTCTAGAGAAAATAGAGCAGAATACTGATATCAATTTATTACTCTTTGAATAGGTAGAGCAAAGAACAAGTCAGATGGGCTGTATCCTCCACCTCTGAGAATACACAGCATCATTTTGTGGTAGCTGCAAGTCTTAGCTACCAAAGTTACTGCTTTGTGTGTTATTATATCACCCTCGCTCTAACCCAATCATGAACTAACAATGAATGAGATGAGATGATCATTCACCAGGACGGGACAATTTCTTACACAACTTCAGAACCAATTACAGTTAAGCAGCTGTACTGAATTCGAGGATTGTAGCCATGCCTTTTTTGCTGATGTGACAGGTACAAAATATCCAGGTTGTTTGGGAAGGCTTTGTTTATATATGGTTTAAGTGGACCTTTATTATGGTGGTTATCTTATCCATGGCTCTTGTTATTTGGTCCTGATGCTTAGTTATGGCAAACTGTTTACTGCGTAGCTTCTTGGCATGGGATTCAACAATATGAAAGCAAAGACTACACAGAGATTTTCTGGGCAAAAGTTATGATTCCTCTTTTACAGAAGCTTTCAATTTCCAGTACTGTCATTCCAAACTCTAGCCCTTCTACCTTCATGTGGGAAAAGGTAAGGAATGCTGTAGAGCAGTGGAAGAAAAAAATCCACCTGGGGACCAGAGGAATAATTGAGGCTAGCACACATTCAGAATAACTCAGGAGATCCCAGACTCTGACTCAAAAGAGCAATTGCACAGCTATTGCAAAGTTCCCCGAAAGAGACTGTGAGTGCAGAGTTCACAAAGACATTAGCTTTTTCCTGTTTTTCAGGATCAGAACCAAACTATCACCCTCCCTAAACACAAAAAAGTAGTTATTGCTATGAATAAACTCAAAAATGCTGCTTACAATGTGATGTGTCTAATTCTGGGTATATTAATGTAGAATATTAAATCCCCAATCTCTGTTAGTGATTTGGGTATTTTTCCACAAAGCACTTCTCAGTGTAATTCACAAATAGATTAATGTCTGATTTCATTATGATTTTGCTTTTGCATAAAAATCACAAACAAATCCCAAAACATTATAGGTCTAAAGCACCTTGTTAAATACTACCTTGCCCATAAAGACTCTGTACAAGATACTTGAGAGATCTCACGAAAAAGCTGAAACAGAAAGGGACTGAAATAGGTGTATTATATAGAGGTCCCACATACACAGCAAGATTTCTCATATACTTCTAATACAGTTTTTTGTGTAACCCTCAAGGCAAAACTTCTCATGACCAGTATCTGCAGGAAGAATTTACTGTCAACATATTCTGTACACTGAAGGAACAAAATGAGCTCAGTCCACATTCACACCAACCCCACAGCTCCTTAAGACACTCGTTTTCAAAGTGGGTTTTTTTCAGTAAAATGAGCATTGTTTCATTTCTTTATGGCAGGTCAGTAGAATCAAAATGAAGGCATGCTTGCTCACCACTCAAAGCACTTGCCTTCTTTTTAATTTCTCTTGGGAATGAAAAGTATATTCAGCTTTTCTTTCTTCTGCTCCACACTCTGCCCTTGTAGCAACATGCATTTGAGAAGGCTGTTTCAAGCAGAAGCATGTTCCAATGTATAGGAATGATGTTAATTCCTGTCACTCTGAACATCCAAGTGAGATTATTGTTAAAGCTGCTTCTAAAGGACCAAAGGAATGTGTGCTATTCAGTTCAATGACTTTCATCACCTATATTAGACTAAACATAAATGTAATATAGCCAAGCCAGGTTCCAAAGGTTAGTCTTTCATTTAGGCAAAATACTGGAGATGCAAAGCTGTGTAGCATTTACAGGAATCTAACATGGATTCAATAAACCAGTTGAACACGAAAGGAACATCCTTTCTAAATGCAAATTATTCAGGTGCAATTTGAGTTCCTTAAAGGTTACTCTTCAGTTCCCTCTCCCTGTCTAATAAATGAGAATACAGAACAGTTTAGTTTCCTTTTCAAACTTCTTCGTATTAAGGCATTCTGCTGATTCTATTACAGGCTTTTTTGTATGAAGCACATACAGACTCTGGACTGCTTCTGTCCTGTGACTGCTCAACACCAACATTAATATTTTACTACAGCACTTCTGAGAAGAACTTAAAAACTAATTTAAAAAACAAGTCTAACAATACAGCAACATACAGATATAATCAAGCTGCAACATTTTTTCTTTCCTTTTCATTTTGCCAAAAGATTCTATGTTTTCATTTATAGAAGAGTAAAATCACAAATATCAAGAAGGTCCCAGAAAATGCAGCCCAATGACTCTTGATACTACACTCATCCAACGGTCAACAGATCTACCTGAACAGCTATGCACAGTAGCTCTAGATCTGACTATGAAATTTCTTTATGATGAGATCTTGTCTTTTGTGAAGCCTGTGGCCAATTTTTTTCTTGGTTCCTATTGGTCAGAACAATATTTGTTATACCAATTTTGAGGCAAGGTCTTAGGAATCACATGAAAGAAAACGTTATATTATATTATATTAGTCATATTAGAGACATATAGAGACATATATAGACAAGAAAGACTATACTTGTGCACAAATTAAATGCTCCATAATAATAGCCACTGACTAGGAAGCTGCTGTGGGCCCTTTATGGCATTGCACATTCATTAGAGAAATCTGCAAGTATATGTTATACACAAAATTTGCCTTTTCTATGGAAATTTAATTTCACCATAACTCATAGAGCAGCACTGGGATGAGTGACACTTCAGGACCTTCATATGAAAAAAAAAGACTGATTGAAAATGGCACTGATTTCCACAAGAAAACAAAAACTGAATGATACTACTGGGAACTACTGCTACCTTACCGGGTTTAGCTCACTGTTAAAGACAGAGGGGAGTCACTTCCACTGGAGAAAGAAGCACTAGCAGTTTTGTGGATACAGAAAATGTTTTGCATTTTCCATGTTTCTTTTCACATAAGATTCAAATGAGACACAGCAACTGGTCACACAATGTTAAGAGTTTAACTGAAATTGTGGCTATATTTTACACAGTCAATAATTCAGTTCATATTTCTGTCTCAGCTGTATTCTGTATTTTTTTAAGTGTACCAAGGTCTCATCCATTATATATTAATGGATGAAATAACTAGTGTTTTTAATGTTGTAGATAGAAAATAGACAAATAACAGTAAGAAATTCAATTAAGAAGAAGAGACACATTCTAGTTTTGATTCTGTGCAAAGATAGCACCCAAAATAAAGACAATTATAATAAAGACTGGTAATAAAGTTCCAAATGAATACCTTCAGCACACCATGCATAATTGAAAGAAGGATTCAGTTCTCTCCAGAGAACATGCTAGAAAGTCCTGATAAAATGGACTTTCATTTCCTGATAATAAACATTTACTGATTTTTGTCCTAGTGGAATAAACCGTGACTTTCTTGCTTTGTTTATATCTATCCCAGGCAGCAGAAATACACTTGGAGGTCACCTATTAAGCTTTTGTCTTCTGGAGCCCAGAGACCTTGACTCCACCTACATGCTGCTGAGAAACTCCATGAGAGCAACAGACAAGATGTCTGTGGCCAAGGTCAGACCTTTTAAGACAAGTGTCAGAACAATCCTCCATCCCAGTTTAATCAGAAAAAGATTCTTCTCATCATGCTGTTGTAATACTGTCAAGAAACTCCATTTTATTGTAAAATCATCTGTCTTAGTCTTACACCAGTTGGAAGGAAATGGATAAAATTAATTTTGAGCCAGAAGCAAATAAAAACCAGTCTTTTCAAAATTTAACATGAGTTGCTAACTTGTGGTTTTATAACTCACGCATGGCTGACTAACTTTTAAAACCTCAAACTTTGCATGTTTAAAGTTTTCATAGAAAATGAGGGCAGAGTCTCATTTTGAAGCTCACATCTTATAGTAAGGTAATGACTTTTTTTTGACTGATGAATCAGCTGCACATGAACTGCCACTGTACAAAAGCACTGCATGTTGGATGCGATGCCTAGAGCTTTGTCGCTTAACACAGCCACACGTTTTTTGCACCCTATTAAGACTTCTGTTTGCAGCTATTTCAGCTACAAAAATAGCTCCTAAAACATACTGTACATACTCAGAATGAAAATTTGACACAAAATTTCAAGAAAAAACCCTATTTTTCCTCCAAACAGTCTTTCCTCTGCTGCCATCCACTTACTGGATATTCTTTCCTTAATTCAGTTACCAAGAGTTTTGCCTGCTTGCACTGTAAGCAATCTAAATAATGAAGCACTTTCTTCACTCAAAGCAGAGCCAGGCACTGGTGCCCCTGGGCCACACCTGGCCTGCCAGAACAATACCTCTTGGACCTCATAGCTTATTGAAGGACTCACTGTCCTGGAAGACACTGATAGCTGGGTGGGGAGATGGCACCTGTGCTGCACATGCTCTGCAGCAGCAGATCCATACAGAGAGAACCAGGGGTGAGTCACGGCACCTCGGTGGCACCAGCAGGTGCAATGGCTGGGCCTGCCCTGGCAGAGCCACGACACCACTGTCAGCAATGCACATGTTTAGCCAAACTGACATAACTGTTGCCCAGGCAGGATTTCTCCCTCCCTGCCCCACATTTTCAGGTGGCAAAGCACTCAGCAAGCATTTCTTCAGCTGGGATCTATGCAGAAGGCACAGAAATGCTGTCAAAATAAAACACTGAATCACCCATGTAAAACCTTGCTTTTTTAAGAAGGAACTCCTACTATGCAACACTGGATTATAAAAATTCATCTACAGTGAAAGTGAAAATGCATCTTTAAATTCTAATTCTCTGTCAAAGCACTGAATATCAAAGGTCCTATTGTAGCAAAGTTCCCAAACAAACAAACCAACAAACCTAGTGTGCAGAAGTTCACCAGAAATTAAAAAACCACCCCACCAACTTACTGAATGTTGGTATATTACACCAACTGCAAAGGTAATGTTAGGATAAATATCTGATAATATTTATTCAGCAAACTGACAATTTCCAGTCAGAC